AATATATGTCCATAATTCCATAATTCCTATAATTCCATCAAATAATTGCATAGTTACGCTTTCAGAATTTGTCATAACAGGTAGCAGTGAAGCTGCTGCCTTAAGATCAAATTTTTCAGCCTTTTTTGCAGGATTATCTAACTTAACTGATTCTTTTCTTTCTAATGAAGTTACTCTACAATTATCTATATTTTCTCTAATTTTCTCTACACATAAATTACATCTGAATTCTATTTCCTATTGAATTAAATTTTGATTCTAATTCGCTAAAATTTTCTTCTAACTTATCTACTTCTCTAATTTTCTTAATCGTTAGTTCTAAATTTAATCTTCTACTCTGATTGTCTTGTAACAAATTGGTTTTAAATCTATCTACCTTTTCCGAAACATAATTGAAATTTGTTAACATCCCACACATTCCACAGGGCACTAAATTGTTACACTGCTGACTCGTTACGACGCAACACTTCAAGACTTTTGGCCACTTCACTTCTTGCTTGTACACGTAATGCTTTTCTATTTCTTGCACACCACAAGATGAAAACCATGCAGAATCCCGCAGTCATGATGCCAATAACTCTGCCACTATCGCCCGCTTGTGCAATAATTATTTCTGCTTTAGAATATCATTTTCCCATTTTCTTTGTACTTCTTCTAATTAATAATTAATAAATAAATCCGCTGCTTCACTCGACTGGCAGGGTCGCCACGCGATGGTTCAGGATATTTTAGATATAGACATGATGTAAAATAAAAAAATAAGCGTTTATTATACAGGCTGTCTCACGTAATTGGTTCGTTAGAACTTTTTTAGGTTCCACTATTCGTACATTTTGAAATTTTGGTAGCATAGGGTGATCATTCGGAACTTTCGATCACACATATTTTGAAGATGGTTGCCACTTCAGATTTACCGGAAGTAGATTATTTATTGTAGTTTCTCTCATATTGGAAAATTTATCAAAACATGCAGGAAATGCAGGAAACCGTGTGTATTTTTATTAGAAGGATATCACATTTTGACAGTTTTTGCACTATTAAGGTCCATTACTACCATCTGTTAGATAAATTTATCTTATAGATAAACCCATCTACTAGCCAATCAGAGCGCGTAAAATAGCCGTAACCGTGGTAATAATCCCTTAGATAGCTTAACCAGAAGATGGTAGTAACGAGCCTAACTATGATTGATAATCTTTTAGTTTACTAGCTTGTACTTACCAAAAATAGCAAACAGAAGATCAAATAAATGAAACAATTAAAACAAAATTAATGTAATTAATTTGTGACAAAAGAGATTTGGATAAAAATATAAATTTATAATATAAATTTGTTATGAAATTGAATTTAGAAATGCAATAAAATACGATAAAATATTTATTTCGTTGTCTTCATCACTGGTGACCAGAAATATACGGTTTCTTTTGGTCTCGATACGTCCAGAACTAAGAAAATGTTTATCAATTTTTTGAAATTTTTCCTTGTGATGGGCGTTAGGTTTGTTAGGCATCTCTCATTAAGTGTTCGACACGTTCTGTCCAAAAGTTTGCAAATTGAACTTAAATCAGAACTAAAACTAGAACTAACACTAGAAACTTTCGGGTTTTACCGCGCATCTGTTAAGAAAAGGTTTGACGTTTCGGATGCCATGTTGCAACCTTCTTCAGAAACTGGTTCGAAGTGATGAGTGAACTGAAGTGAACTGAGTTTTCTTAAAAGACGCACGGCAAAACCCGAAAGTTTCTAGTGTTAGTTCTAGTTTTAGTTCTAATTTTAGATCAATTAACACCGGCCGTGAAAGCCTTTGTAGTTATAGTAATTCAATTTTTGACCACTCTGTATAAAATACTCTGATACAGCAAATGACAATCTATTTGACAGCATCTGAAGAGTAATCGTGCCAATGTAGATCTTTTTTGAATGAACGTTGGCGAGATGTGGGTTTTAACGAGAATGTTGAAATTTACCAAAAAAAGTTTAAACCCAAAATAACTCGAAAACGCAAAACGCTAGGTACCAATAACTTTTAACAAAGTCAACCTATATTTTTAAGTACAATTAAACGGTGTAATAAAAACTATAGCATTCCATTTAAAATAACGAAGTTATGGTCACCTCCGGTAGATCGGAAATGGCGGCCATCTTGAAAATATTTTAGAACGAAAGTTCTGAATGTATAACCCATGCTACCAAAATTTCAAATCTCAACGAATAGTGGAACCTGAAAAAGTTCTAACGAACCAGTTACGTGAGACAAACTGTATACGATTACATATGTATGTACAGGGGTCCAAATTTCGATGCGTTTGCAGGGTATCTCAGTTATTATGAAAGATAGAAAGTTGCGGTTTTCGCGAACCTGAGCTACTTTTTTGTGAAACTTACAATGGCGCAAACCAAATTTTCATAGCCCTTTTCGTTTTTGATATACAGGGAGTGTTTCAAAATTTACGATTTTCAAACACCCCCTGTATCTCGGCTATCCGGAAACTTAGTAAAAAAGTAAAAATGCGTTCTAATAATTTTTTTCACGGAGGATCCAATGGTGCACGTAGAATTTTTCTAGTTATCACGGTCTTTTGAGTTATAAACACAACTTAGGTTTTTTTAAATGGAACCACCTATATTTTATTTTTTTTTATTGAACTTTATAATTAATATAATTAATATCTTTATAATTAACCTCGAAATTTAATAAAACACATTATTTTGTAAGTAGGCTATGATAAATTAAGTGATCGCTTTGCTAGGGTACCGGATAAACAGAAAATTTTGAAAATACTATAATATTTTTACTGCTATATTACGTTTATTTAGTTATTGACTTATTAAAAAAATGAATCTGTTAATTTTTGTTAAAAAAAACGAAAAATAATTAAAAACTAAAAATGATGCAAATATGGCTTGAAGTTGCAAGAATTGTTCAAAGTTGCTACCATTTTGATGCACACATTGTTCACAAAGTTCAGTAATGCGTTTAATTGCATTTAGAGTAGTTGTGGGATGTTGCTCTAAATGTGAAAAAGCATCATTTACAGCAATTTTCCATATCAATTTCGTTCAATTTTGGGTACTGTATACGCGATTCTTGATATATCCCCATAAAAAGAAGTTCAAAATAGATAAATTGGGTGATCTTGTCGGCCATCGCATTGGACCACGCGTGGATAGGCCACCTACCAGGAAATTCGGCTCACTAACCGCGCATTATGAGCGAGCGCTCTGTCCTGTTGAAAATAAATATTATTTAACCGAATAACAGATATCATCCAAAATATCATACAAAGCTTCTTGCAAGATAGCCAAATAGCGATTAGCGCAAAGGTTTCCTTCATATATTTTATAATAAATATAATGAACCCTAAGTTCGTTATTTTAAATGAAATGTACCAATTTTTATTGAATTTTCGAAATCACCGCCAAATTTTAACATAATTTGATATAAGCACAGATCATACAGGTGCGGCACTCCGAGCGGCACCTTTCATGTTTCAGGAGTGGGGCGGTTACCTTCATTCTCAGAGCCCTTTAAATAGGTTTATTGAAAAGGCGCCAAATTCAAACATAAAAATATTTATGGAAGCTAAAATGTAGTTAAATATCTAACATTTATTTAATTTATACAGGGTGAGTCAGAAAGAATAGAATATCTGAATACCGGAGATACTAGACACTAAAATATGATGATTTAAGCTAACATCTGTTATATAAATGTCAGTGGTTTTCGAGGCACAGGGTGTTGAAAGTTAAATTCTTATTTCGAAATTTCATGATAATTTTGAAGCTTTTTGTGCTATTAACATAAAATTTGGTAGTTTTATGTTTTCAAGCATGATAAATACGAATTTGAAACTGGTTTTGTTATTGCTCATAGAGGGCGCTAGATACACACTGCTCGTTTGATAAATGAAATCATAAGTTTTTTGGCTGTCGAGCTACGACCAATAAGAGCTACAAATCACAAAGAGCATTCAATTTTACATAAAAAAGGTACTCTTATTTAAATTGTCTAAGTCTATCGATTTTCGAATTATTTACTTTAAAATATTTAAATGTATTTTTTCTTCTAAAATTTTTATTTTTTAACGTAAGCAAAGTTGGCTTATTTTTCCGCTCATGTTTCGACAATTGCTTGTTAATTGTCAACATTGATTTAATTTCCGTGTGCAATAATCATTTTTACCAACAATAAAGTGATTACCAATTTGAAAATGCATAATGAGTTTTCTAATAGTGAGAAATCCAGAATTAAATCCACAGGATTTTTGAATATGGTCACAACATTCTATTGTTGTTAATTAATTGATATTGTTATCGATTATTATCGTTACTAATTACTATAGTTACTGTGTGTTATTGATTTTAAATGTTAACCTTAAAATTACTTAGAAACAATTAAAAGCAGATAACTTGGAAACCAGTAGACTTAGACAATGTAAGTAAGACTACCTTTTTTGTGTAGAATTGAAAGGTCCTTCAGATTTCTGGTTCTAATTCACCATACCTCGACTGACAAAATAGTCATGACTTGATATCTCAAATATGCAGTGTGTATCTAGCACCCTCTATGAGTAATCACAAAACAAATTTCAAATTCGTATTTCTCATGCTCAAAAACATAAAACAACCAAATTTTATGTTAATAGTACAAAAAGCTTCGAAATTATTAAGAAATTTCGAAATCAGAATTTAACTTTCAACACCCTGTGTCTTGAAAACCACCGACATTTGTATAAGAGATGTTAGGTTAAATCGTCATATTTTGGAGTCTAGTGTACCGGAGTAATACCGGTAATATTCGGATTTCCCATTCTTTCTGATTCACCCTGTATATTTATAATTAAATAATGATCAATTAAAATAAAATTATCTTAGAACATAACAAAAACATAACAAATATTAGTGTTTACTATATCATGTTAAAAATAGATAAATAAGAAATAAAAAGCTTAAACTTTCAAAAATTTATTATAAATTCATAAAAATGGTTAATTTCCTTTCTTTTTTTGTTTGTGTTTTAAAATCTCTATTTGAGTATTTCATTACATAATAAATTCTTAACCTTATGTATAATTTGATTAAATAATCCAAAGGGAAATACGGACAGGGGTGAGTAAAATCCCTAATTTCAATACACAACAAATACAGACTTGCCCTACAGCTTTTTTAGTGTTGTATTTGTCTATTGTTAGTAAAAAATATTTTTTCTAAATAATAAATATAATTATAAAAGGATTCATGGGGTGTCTTTAACGCTCCAAAGGGATTATACTTAGTTTCATATGCTTTGTAATACAAAAAAACATTAGAGTCGTTTAAATTTGCATCGGCTACAGCAAAACTTTTGCACACATTACAAATATGAACATTTAAACAATTGTTAATTAACTATCCGACTACATACTTGAAGGCATTTTGCTCTGGTAACGGTTTTTAGGAATATGTTGTGTGATTAATCTGAAAACATTTAACAGGTTTATCAGTATCAGTAATCCGTGGATAATCTTCGGGTTTATATTGGGCTAAATCTATTAATAGTTTATTGAAGTCTTCGGTGCAGTTCATGTGTTCCGAGTGAAAAAAAGATAGTAGGAATAATTTTCTGAAGGCTCTTCGAAATTGTATTGGTGTTGGATTTATTGCATTGCCACACTGTTATCTGATACTACCAAAAAAGTTGTCAAGGCAATCTTGATTTAAATTTCTAGTATAAATACATTTAACATTGTACTTATGTTTTAGATGTTTCCATAATTTTAGCAAAGCGTTAGTTGCTACTTTCCATGCGGTTATGCACTTTAAAGTATTTGTAATATCTTTGCCCTTATTATTTATAACTTTTAGTTTTTCTAAAAAGTTAAGCGTATCTTGCAGATGTGCGATGTATTCTTGTTGTGCTTTAAAACTAAAATTACTCTCATTTTGACCATTTGATATGTTAAAAATATCGAAGAGTTTGTTAAAGCGATTATTTGTTGTTCTGCTTTTTGATATTTAAAATAAATATAGGTGGCTAATCCAGATGCAACAGTATTGCTGATAACTTGTGTAGCCGATTTTACCTAAAACAAAATATAATTTTAATACATATAACATTTTATAAATAAAAATTATTTTCATAAAGAAACAAAAAATTATTTAAGTTACTGTCATACCTTTTGTCGCTCAAATCCGTTACGGTCGAAATGTTGCTTCGTTAATTTAGGTGCTAAGCGATTTTGTAGTTTACTATTGCTGTTGTAAAAATCCACAATATATTTCCATGCTGTTTGATAACCATCCCCGCAAAATCTGTTTTTAAGCATCATATTTCTGATAGTTTTAATCATATGTGGAGAATCAAAGTAATAAAATATTTCTTGACCATCAAGTGTTGTTTTAGGATTATCTGGCGTAACGTTTAATAACGATGATAATTCCATTAAGTTTGTTCCCATATCCGATATAAGGACTTCAACCTTTAAGCCAATTTTTGTTAATAGGGTTACATACTGTGCTAATATAGCTTTAAGATGCTGCGCATTCATACTTGTATGGATAAATTCATACCCTAAAGGATGTTTCCATTATAATGGCTAGAGGTGTACTAACTCTAGCCATTATAGTAGTGACACAATGGGCCGGCTTGTTGGTTTTAATTTTTTCATCGGATTCTAAACCTACAACTTCATCATTACCAAAGTTATAAAATAAATTGCATTTTAAGCTCATTTCATGAACACACAGTGCACAGATTTTGTCATTTTCACTCATAGTATTCACTTTAATTTTTAAAATATCGAACAAAATTGGGTTTACACTCTCAACTAACTAACTTTGACCGCATATCTTTCGAGGGACTCTCTTGGAAGGTAAAACAAAACTTCTTCTTAGGCATCTGTAACATTTAGGTCCTAAAAAATATAAAGATAGCGCAAATTTCTTGAATTCATTGGAGTAACGGTGCCCATGACTATTTTTTATTGACTGCTCTCCTTGTATTTTGATAAATTTTGACATTTCCGGCGTTAAAAATTTGTCACACATATCCTTCCATAAATTAATATCTGCTGGTGGTTTTGTAGTATTTTCTTCCAACTCCTGAATTCGTTTTTTTAGAAAAAAGATGCTTTTGTCCCTATAGGAGACATCGATGGGGACGTATCCGTGGACAGTCCTTTTATTGTTTGTGTCCTCAGAGGAGACATCAGTGGGGACTCAAACAAGTCTAATGTTGGGTCTGTGACTGGAATTGATACCTGAATATTTTGTAAAATTTTTATTTTTGTGGTGGTACTAACGCAGGTGTTGATGACGTCGAGCGATCAAGTAATGATTGAATATATAAAGACGGTACAGTTTGAGATAACAGTCGTGTTTTGTCAGGGCCCAAATACATATCGTTACCAAAATGAAGACTACATATGCGATAGGATTTATAACGTTTACATGCATCAAATTTCATTAAATCTTGTCGACCACTATTTTTTAGCCATAAATTACATATCCTTATCTTTTGGAAATCGAAAATCTTTTATACTCTGGCTTTTCTTTTTCGCCCTATAAAATGTAGATTTACACCCGCTAGGTATAGCTGCAAATTACCCCGTCATTTAATGAATGTACAGATTTCTCTGTGTTGGTTTTTCCTTGGTCTATTGGCTCCATTAAAATAATGTTTCAACAATAATTACTCAATTTCACTTAGCTTGTAATGAAAGTAAAACAACAACACTAAATAAAAATACTGCGAAATAAAAACGTAATAACTGTCAGAAAAGCAAGGAATTACAAACATGGGATTATTCATCAATTTGAGGTGAACAAAATTACTTGCATGCACAAATTTTAAAATCATAAGTTTTTATTGGTCTAGAGATATTGTGGGTCGACCTAATTGTCGAAAGTAGCCGAATATTCATTCGATTGTTCTCGTTGGACCTTTAAATTGGTTTCGTACCTATCTTTGTCTTGAAATGACCCTCTCTTTCTGAGTGCCGCATCTGAATGATCTGTGATATGTCATCATATGTCTAGAGTTTTCAAGTTTCTACCACCTGTATAATTTTTTAAAAAACTTTTCAAGGGTTATGTAAGCTATGGGTCTCTCTCTGCAAACCCTGAAAATATTTGGTCGAACTCGAGTGTAATTTAGAAAAATTATTTTTATTGTGAAGGATTGCATCTGTAAAAATTTTCGAAAAACTGAAATACTTGCACTTGCACTAAGCAGTTTAGTGCAGATATTGTGTGTTCGTTGGGGATAGTGCAGTTTAGTGCAGTTGCACTCATCTGTTCGTTGGGCCATGTGCAGTGCAATTTAGTGCAGATTTTGTTGCACGTGCTTTCGATTAAGTTCAATAAGTGCAGTTTAATGCAGTGTAACTAAAATGGCGGAATATTTGAAAGCGTGTTTTGTAATAATTAATATTAAATATTAAGAAATAAAACCTTATAATAATAACACAGTATATTCAATCCCAGTAGAGGCAGTAGAAAACTACGCCTACTTTTTTGGAATAATTTAAAAACTACCCTCTCGATTTTGGCTTCATTAAATACACTATAGTACATTTAAAAATATTAATTATGTGTTTTTTTCATTTGGGGGTGGCTGGGGTTAACTACCCTCACCAGCCAAATTTTTTTTTCATGTACTGCTTATAGATTTTGGTGCAATTTAGCATGTGATTTCTTTATACGTTAAGTAGTACTTTTGAAAGAACTAATAAGGGTTAGTAGTTTGGGGTAGAAAATATATTTCGCTAATAATTGAAAAAAATAAAAAATAATAATAATAATTCATGAATCGCTACTAAAAAAACATTCTGCAATGATTTCATTTTCCACGAGTATTTCGCTGACAATCTCCTGTTCATCCATTTCAAATATTATACACTTTTGTTATAACAATCTGTTCGTTGCGACCACGGTTTATACACTTTTCTGACCTGCACTAAGTTGACATGACATTGCACCACGGTGTGTTAACTCAATACGTATAAAAAAAGACAGATATTTAATGGGTACCACGGACGGCTAGATGGCACTGTAAGCACAAATTGCTTAAAGTCCCTAGATTTACAAAGTACCGCGGTTTGCCGCCATTTTGAAAGTCAAGCGGGAACTTTAAAACTATGTCGTTCTATTGGTGACATTACGCCAAAATTCCTTTCATTTTTTCTCGTGGTACTCTGAAGAGTCGAAAGTGCATGCGTTTTGTTGCAGACAAAACGAAGTGAAAACAAAATTCAAATTTTCACCAGTCAACATGAAAATGATACCTTTACTGTTATCATTTTCATGTTGACTGGTGGAAGTTGAAATCAATAATTAATAACCATTAACTGAATAAAAATACTTTTAAATTTCGCGCTTTATTAAAAGTAGTAGGTACCACAGACCACTAGAGGCGTTGAAATCAATTTGACCGAAAAAATAGTGGGGAGTAATGCTTCTATATATATATATTTATATTATTTTTCTATGCATTGCACTGACTTACACTTCATTGCACTATGACGTCATACGAGTGCCATGTCGTGCAGAATAGTGCAGTCCCAACGAACAAAGCTATGATGACTTATATCAAATTATATTAAAATTTAGCTGGAATCTCGAAAATTTAATAGAAATTGGTACATTCCATTTGGAATAACGAAGTTGGAGTCCATTTCCGGTGTATCCGGAAGTTGGAGAAAACTGAAAATATTTTAGTTGAAACGAGCACCTCAGATAAACGCTATATGCAATTTTCAGACAAATAGTGCCAGTAGTTTGCCACATACATATAGACTCAGCTAGTCGTGACAGACCTGTATATGTTACTTATTAATATATTGATTGCTACTACTCATCCTTCGCAATCATGACCGCTTTTTAATAACGAAATTGCTATTTGTGTATTAAGAGCGTAGCGGAGCGCGGGCTCTGCTCGAATTGGACACAAGATTTTTCTACGATCACATTATTTTTAGACAAATAATTTAAAAAAAAGACGAAAAATACACTTTATTAGAATGTGATGTAAAATGTACAGTTTTGGCAATCTTTAATATTTATCCCAGGACCTGAAGAAGTCGGAGGTAGGGTAATATCTTCTGAATCTTTTTCTGCAATATCAGATATAGGAGGAATCGAAAGTTCTTCGCTAGTTGGTACTGCTGCGTTCCCAGAAATTTTTTGGAAGGTATCTATTTTATTGTTAATGTATTCGGCGATATATCCTTCAGCCACATTACTGCCTTTCCACCCACCATGTTTTTTAAGCTGAATTAAGTCGCCTCCACCATTTACTAATAATGTCGCCGACGTTCGTCGAAAGCAATGACCAGTAAATAAATTTTTATAGGGCAATTTTAAGAAACTGGCTATTTCGTTTGGTACTTTACCCACAGTATTCATATAGCATTTACCTTTGGAGTATCGTAAAAATAAGCGCTGGATAGTGTTATTACTTTTAATTTGACATTGCTGTCTTAAATTAAAATATTTTCTATAATAAAAAATATAGTCGATCGCATTTTCTTCGGCACTCTTAATTATTGTGAATGTACGACTTTGATTCGTTTTCGAATCGGGGATTCGGACCACTAGAAAGGATTCTTTATCATCTATATTCTTTAATTCAATTTTGATTAATTCATCCCTACGGCATGCACCAGCGATACCCATGATTAAGATCACCTAAAAACAATATTCTGAGAAATTCTGTATCAGAATAAAATAAATAGTAAAACGTTTGTACCTTTTTCAGCAAATGTTCATCGTCAGGTGCAAAAGCTCTACACTTGTTACTTTGAGAATGTTTGTGACTTCTTTGCTTTGTAACCCACTGCTTCTAACTTCAAAAATGCAATCAGTTTAGTGTATTTACTGATGTTAATATTATAATTTACTTGGAAAGTGCATCGAAGCATCGAATATTATGACCACAAGGTTGAAGATTTTAGAGTTTTGGATTTTTCGCCAAAATAAGTCAGCAATCCAGCGGCACCAATCCATGAATATATTATATTGTTTTTCGTATTTACCTTTAGATTTAGTTGGCAGAAGATTAAGAGAAATTATTTTAGCAAAATCTGCTATATCTGGAGGTGTGCTTGCAAATTCACTGTCACTATCCATTTTTCAAATAGCTATTTATAAACCATGCACCAGTCACTCGTATTAATGAAGTGGGGCACATACGTTTAATTCTGGATACTGTCACTTATAGCGTTGCTTTCGATTACAGAACCCATTTTGGCTATTTTTTGAGTCGTCAGTTTGACTGCTTTGACCAGGTTTGAGATAGTAATATTTTTGATTGCATGATGTATTGTGTATAGAGGAAGAGTTGCTAGCGATTTGAAGAAAGTGCGATTTGTTGTTGTTGCTTTATAATAAGTACTTCGATTGATGTTATAATCAGCCATGAGGAAGTAGCATTGGATAAATAGAATAAAATTAAAAGGAAACGATGCGGTATAAATAATATTAAAAAAATTAAAGAATAAAGTCTTTGTTATTCATTTAAAAACTTTTTAATAAACTCTGTACCAAATAATAACTTAATACCTAGTCATGTTTTTTCGATGTTTTCTTTTTTGGAAAACATTGTAAACGACAAAATTTAATGTGCTTAAAATTTTGTACAGTTTGTAAAGTTTTGTCGCCAAGCAATGTTTTCGTAAAGAAACATCGACAAAATTTTCAAATAACAAATTTAATTTATATTTCCCGCCTGCCAATGACTTCAGCGCTGTAGGTGACAGTATCCAAAACTAATTGCGCATTTCAATCAAACGTTTATAGTTGCCTATCTATATAACAAATATGTATATTATATCTAATCTATGTTATAAACAGACAACTTTTTTATGAACTAAAAATGAAATAATGACGTTTCATTAATTTCATAGTCTACTATTTGCACAAAATAGTAGGTAGGTACTTAAATATGCAATCACTATTGCATCTAGGTGTATAATGTATTGCCTACCTTCTCACTGTTATATTTT